CAGGGTGACATGGAGTCCAACGGGAAGTACATCACCAAGTCCGGCACTCGTGTGGACCACCAGACGGGCCCCATTGTGTGGGGGGAGCCAGGGACCAATGGCCAGCATGCCTTCTACCAGCTCATCCACCAAGGTAGGGCCCCCTGCCCGGGGCAGGGGTGCTGCTGTGGACGTGGAAGGCCCACCAGCAGAGACTTCTCCCTCGGGTGGCTCCCGTGGGCTGGGGTAGGCGCTTGGGTGACCGTTGTACCCTTTACAGGCACCAAGATGATACCTTGTGACTTCCTCATCCCAGTCCAGACCCAGCACCCAATAAGGAAGGGTTTGCATCACAAGGTAAGAGCCTTGTCCTGCCTCTCCTCACACTTTCTTAGGCTCGCCTTCACCCAGGCTGCTTAGGAGCTGATGCATTAGTTGGCAGTTATACTAGTTTTCTGTTCCTGCCATAATAAATTACACAAACTTAGTGATTTAAAACAACACCCAGTTTTTATCTCGGTTTCTGTGGGTCTGAAGTCCAGCAGGCTCCGCTGGGTGTCTGCTCAGGGATCATTCTCAACTTCAACAAGCCACCTTGGCCTGTGGTGCCCTCCATCTCAGAGCCGGCAGTGGTGGGATGCGTCCCACTCCAGCCTTGATTCTGTCCTACCCCTTCTGTTGCATCTTTCTGACTGACTCATTTGTCTTCGTCTTCTACTTCTGAGGGCCCATGTGATTACATTGGGCCCACCTATGCCTGTCTCAAGGTCTGTTACCTTCATTCCATCTGTAAGATCTCCTTTGCCATGTAATGTAACCCACACAGGTGTAATAGCAGGGAGGGGGCAAAGGTCATGGAGCCAAGATGGTGCTTACTACAGCAGCAGATGGGAAGACCAATAAGATAGATATGGTAGGGGCACCTGGGTGGCTCGGTCGGTTGAGCATCTGACTCTTGGTTTTGGCTCGGGTCATCATCTCAGGGTCGTGAGATGGAGCCCCGAGTCAGGCTCCACGCTCAGCGGGGAGTCTGTTTGGGATTCTCGGTCTCTGTCTCTCTCTCAAATAAATAAATAAATCTTAAAAAAAAAAAAAAGAAAAACATAGATATTGCTAAGTTCTTAGCAGGGTCCTTGGCAAGTCATGCGTATCCCTTAAAGGGCAGTTACTGTTGTCACTTCTTGGCCATGTTGTCCGGTGTGCCCTCCCATCCCCGCCTCGCTCCATTTGAGCTCTACATTGGGGGCTGGGACTAACCCCACCTGGGAAGTGCCAGGCAGTCTTGCCCCTGTGCCTGGAGCTCAGACAGGACTTCCAAGTGGAACCGGGTATCTCTCTTGTCAGATCCTCCTGGCCAACTTTTTGGCCCAGACTGAGGCCCTGATGAAGGGGAAGTCGACAGAGGAGGCCCGGAAGGAGCTGCAGGCCGCGGGGAAGAGTCCAGAGGCCTTGGAGAAGCTGTTGCCACACAAGGTCAGCACCTCTCCTGAAGTGGGCTGTGGCTGGCATCCTGGAGTCAGAAGGATAAAGTTGTGGGGTCCGGGTAGGGATTCATGGCGTGCCTGGCTTGTCCTACCCAGTAGGAGGGACTGTCCTTACAGATAGGCATATCCCAGCCTCTGGGATAGGGTGCACATCCCTTGTGAGGATTTGGGGGTGATGACTAACCGGGGGACATTCCTGGGTGTTTTCTAAAGGTCTTTGAAGGAAATCGGCCAACCAACTCTATTGTGTTCACCAAGCTCACACCATTCATTCTGGGAGCCTTGATTGGTGAGTGAGTGGGGAAGGTCCTGGCCTAGGGTAGGTTGGACAAAGCCGGTCGAGCCTTAATGTGCCCCATCTACCACCCCTATAGCCATGTACGAGCACAAGATCTTCGTTCAGGGTATCATCTGGGACATCAACAGCTTTGACCAGTGGGGGTGAGTTGCTCCTCCTCAAGGGGAGGGTAGAGAATGCCTATGGGTTGGCTTGTGGATTTCACTCGTGATGCTGGAACCTTCCTCTTAACCATTTTTCTCCTTGTCCTGGCAGGGTGGAGCTGGGAAAGCAGCTGGCCAAGAAAATCGAGCCTGAGCTTGACGGCAGTAGCCCAGTGACCTCTCACGACTCTTCCACCAATGGGCTCATCAACTTCATCAAGCAGGAGCGTGAGGCCAGAAGCCAATAAACTCATGCCCGGCTGCAGTCCCTGTTGTGACTGGTCCTTCTTGTCACTCCTCCCCAGAGATGCCCTGCACAGTCCTGCCCAGAGCAGCCTCTGGTTGCAGGCTTGGAGCATAAGCCCTTTGGGGGAAGCTAGTCTGGAATTGCTACCCCGCCCTTCCATGTCCATGTGTCCTCTGTTTTACAGTCAGCTGAAGTGTTTCAGTGCAGTTGATTTTATTGACCATGTTCACTTTGTTCATGTACCAGACAGAAAAATAAAAATGCCACAAAGGAGGTTGTAGGCTCAGCCTCTTCTCATCTCCAGAAGTGGTGCTCTACACAGGAGTTAGGTGCCCAGTAGGAGTGATGTGCCTTGCTTGATTGAGGCTTGACTGTAAGTGGTGAGTAGGTCCAGAGTGGAGGACGGTCCCTTGAGAAGAGAGTGGAGGAGGGGGTTGGGGCACAGTCAGTGTCACAGGGGCAGCTTGGCTTCTGTAAGCAAATTCCTTCTCCTTTGTCCACTCCTTTGCTCTGTGACTTCGGAGGAATTGCACACTTCTGTTCACCGGATAGTTCTAAAAAGCTGTGTTAGATTAGGTCTATTTTGGGTGAATACCCAGTCTGGGTCAAGGGTGACGCTCATCTTCTGGCCAGATGCTCAGGTAATTCTTTCCTTTTATAAGACAGACATTGAGGGGCGCCTGGGTGGCTCAGTTGGTTAAGCGACTGCCTTCGGCTCAGGTCATGATCCTAGAGTCCCGGGATCGAGTCCCACATCGGGCTCC